GAATTTGATTTGACTGTCACTTTATTTAACTTTTAATAAACTTTCAAATCACAAACTGACATGAATTCGTGTTAAGACATACTCTCTTTAAGACATTATTAGACTGGACTCTCTTCTAAGAGATCACTGAATTTGATAGACGATCACTACTCTATTTATTCAGTATAGGACGTGACATAATGTGCACTTCCGCTGGCCTTGTACTTTGGTTATTTATTAAAACCGCACAAAATGCATTATTACACAATAGGTTATCACATCTGCTTTACACGCAGAAGGCCGCCGGTTCGATCCCGGCCGGAATTATCTAATGTAATCTTCTATATTTATTCAAAACAAATGAAGGTTTTTGATGGTTTATTGATTGTCGGTGCAATCCCATGATGAATCATAAATCATACAGAAGGCCGCCGGTTCGATCCCGGCCGGAATCATCTAATTGAAATCCTATATATTTATTCAAAGCCAATAAAAAGTTTTGGTGGTTTATTGATTGTCGTTGCAACACCATGATAAATCATACATCAAAGTCCTCAATATTTACTCTAAGCTTTTATTAAATATTGGCGATGCGGGCGCAAATGCGTTTTATTTTCGTAGGTTCCGTGGTGTAGTGGACATCGATGTATGATTGACACCATGGGATTGCACCGACAATCAATATATCACCAAAAATCTTCATTGGTTTTGAATTAATATAGAGGATTTTATTACATGATTCCGGCCGAAATTGAACCGGCGCCCTTCTGCGTGTTAAGCAGATGTGATAACCACTACACCACGGAACGCCGGTTCGATTCCGGCCGGAATCATCTAATGAAATCCTTTGTATTTATTCCAAACAAATGAAGAATTTTGGTGGTTTATTGACTATCGGTGCAATCTCACGATGAATCATACATCGAAGTCTTCATTATTTTAAGCTTTTATTAAATATTGGTGATGCGTGCTGCAAATGCGATTTATTTTTATAGGTTCCGTGGTGTAGTGGTTATCACATCTGGCCCGGTTCGATCCCGGCCGGAATCATCTAATGTAATCTTCTATATTTATTCAAAACGAATAAAGGTTTTTGGTGGTTTATTGATTGTCGACGCAGTCCCATGATGAATCATAAATCATACAGAAGGCCGCCGGTTCGATCCCGGCCAGAATCATCTAATAAAATCCTATATATTTATTCAAAGCCAATAGAGGGTTTTGGTGGTTTATTGATTGTCAGTGCAATCCCATGATGAATCATACATCAAAGTTTTCAATATTTATTCTAAGCTTTTAATAAATATTGGCGATGCGTGCTACAAATGCGTTTTATTTTTGTAGGTTCTGTGGTGTAGTGGTTATCACATCTGCTTCACACGCAGAAGGGCGCCGGTTCGATCCCGGCCGGAATCATCTAATGTAATCCTTTATATTTATTCAAAACGAATAAAGGTTTTTGGTGGTTTATTGATTGTCGGTGCAATCCCATGATGAATCATAAATCATACAGAAGACCGCCGGTTCGATCCCTGCCGGAATCATATAATGAAATCTTCCATATTTATCAAAACGAATAAAGGGTTTTGGTGGCTTATTGATTGTTGGTGCAATCTCATGATGAATCTTACATCGATGTCCTCAATATTGCTGCAAATGCGTTTTATTTTTGTAGGTTTCGTGGTGTAGTTGTTATCTCATTTGCCTAACACGCAGAAGGCCGCCGGTTCGATACCGGGCGGAATCATATAATGAAATCCTCTATAATTATTCAAATCCAATGAAGGATTTTGGTGGTTTATTGACTGTCGGTTTATTCTGATCTTTTATTAAATATTGGCAATGCGTGCTGCAAATGCAATTTATTTTTGTAGGTTCCGTGGTGTAGTGGCTGTCACATCTTCTTTACACGCAGAAGGTCGCCGGTTCGAACCCGGCCGGAATCAACTAATGAAATCCTCTATATTTATCAAACGAATAAAGGGTTTTGGTGGTTTATTGATTGTCGGTGCAATATCATGATGAATCTTACATCGATGTTCTCAATATTGCTGCAAATGGGATTTATTTTTGTAGGTTTTGTGGTGTAGTGGTTATCACATCTGCTTAACACGCAGAAGGCCGCCGGTTCGAACCCGGCCGAAATCATCTAATGAAATCCTGTATATTCATCAAAGCGAATAGGGGGTTTTGGTGGTTTATTGATTGTCGGTGCAATCTCATGATGAATCTTACAGCGATGTCCTCAATATTGCTGCAAATGAGATTTATTTTTGTAGGTTTCATGGTGTAGGCCGCCTATTTGATCCCGGCCGGAATCATATAATAAAATCCTCTATATTTATTCAAATCCAATAAAGGATTTTGGTGGTTTATTGACTGTCGGTGCAATCTCGCGATGAATCATACATCGAAGTCTTCAATATTTATTCAAAGCTTTTATTAAATATTGGCGATGCGTGCTACAAATGCGGTTTACTTTTGTAGGTTCCGTGGTGTAGTGGTTATCACATTTGCTTTACACGCAGAAGGCCGCCGGTTCGATCGCGGCCGGAATCATCTAATGAAATCTTTTACATTTGTTCAAAACTAATAAGGGGTTTTGGTGGTCTATTGACTGTCGGTGCAATCTCACGATGAATCATACATCGAAGTCATCAATATGTATTCTAAGCTTTTATTAAATATTGGCGATGCGTGCTGCAAATGCAATTTATTTTTCTACGTTCCGTGGTTATCACATCTGCTTTACACGTAGAAGGTCGCCGGTTCGATCCCGGCCGGAATAATCTAATAAAATCTTCTATAGTTATCAAAACGAATGAAGGGTTTTGGTGGTTTATTGATTGTCGGTGCAATTTCATTATGTCCTCAATATTGCTGCAAATGAGATTCATTTTTGTAGGTTTCGTGGTGTAGTGGTTATCACATCTGCTTAACACGCAGAAGGCCGCCGGTTCGATCCAGGCCGAAATCATCTGATGAAATCCTCTATGTTTATCAAAAGGAATAAAGGGTTTTGGTGGTTTATTGATTGTCGGTGCAATCTCATGATGAATCTTACATCGATGTCCTCAATATTGCTGCAACTGCGTCTTATTGTTGTAGGTTTCGTGGTGTAGTGGTTATCACATTTGCTTAACACGCAGAAGGCCGCCGGTTCGATCCCGGTCGGAATCATTTAATGAAATCCTCTACATTTATTCAAAACCTATAAAGGGTTTTGGTGGTCTATTGACTGTCGGTGCAATCTCACGATGAATCATACATCGAAGTCTTCAATATTTATTCTAAGCTTTCATTAAATATTGGCGATGAGTGCTACAAATGCGTTTTATTTTTGTAGGTTTCGTGGTATAGTGGTTATCACATCTGCATAACACGCAGAAGGAATAGAAATCATCTAATGAACTATCTAATAAAATCCTCTATATTTATTCAAATCCAGTGAAGGCTTTTGGTGGTTTATTAACTGTCGGTGCAATCTCACGATGAATCATACACCGAAGTCTTCAATATTTATTCTAAACTTTTATTAAATATTGGCGATGCGTGCTGCAAATGCATTTCATTTTTGTAGGTTCCGTGGTGTAGTGGTTATCACATCTGCTTTACTCGCAGAAGGTCACCGGTTCGATCCCGGCCGGAATCATCTAATGAAATCCTCTATATTTATCAAAATGAATAAAGGGTTTTGGTGGTTTATTGTTTGTCGGTGCAATCTCATGATGAATCTTACATCGATGTCCTCAATATTGCTGTGAATGGGTTTTATTTTTGTAGATTCCGTGGTGTAGTGGTTATCACATCTGCTTTACACGCAGAAGGCCGCCGGTTCGATCCCGGCCGGAATCATCTAATGGAATCCTCTACATTTATTCAAAACCGATAAAGGGTTTTGGTGGTCTATTGACTGTCGGTGCAATCTCACGATGAATCATACATCGAAGTCATCAATATTTATTCTAAGCTTTTATTAAATATTGGCTATGAGTGCTACAAATGCGTTTTATTTTCGTAGGTTTCGTGATGTAGTGGTTATCACATCTGCCTTACGCGCAGAAGGCCGCCGGTTCAATCCCGGCCGGAATCATCTAATGAAATACTTTATATTTATCAAAACAAATAAAGGGTTTTGATGGTTTATTGATTGTCTGTGCAATCTCATGATGTCCTCAATATTGCTGGAAATGGGGTTTATTTTTGTAGGTTTCGTGGTGCAGTGGTTATCACCTCTGCTTAACACGCAAAAGGCCGCCGGTTCGATCCCGGCCGGAATCATCTAATGTAATCCTCTATATTTATTCAAAACGAATAAAGGTTTTTGGTGGTTTATTGATTGTCGGTGCGAACCCATAATGAATCATAAATCATACAGAAGACCGCCGGTTTGATCCCGGCCGGGATCATGTAATGAAATCCTCTGTATTTATTCAAAACCAATAAAGGGTTTTGGTGGTAAATTGATTGTCGGTGCAATCCCATGATAAATCATACATCAAAGTCTTCAATATTTATTCTAAGCTTTTATTAAATATTGGCGATGCGTGCTACAAATGCGTTTTATTTTTGTAGGTTCTGTGGTGTAGTGGTTATCACATCTGCTTCACACGCAGAAGGCCGCCGGTTCAATTTCTATATTAATTCAAAACCAATGAAGATTTTTGGTGATATACTTATTGTCGGTGCAATCCCATGATGTCAATCATACATCAATGTCCTCAATATTTATTCTAAGTTTTTATTGAATATTGGCGATGCTGGCTGCAAATGCGTTTTAATGTTGTAGGTTCCGTGGTGTAGTGGTTATGTATTAACCACGCAGAAAGCCGCCGGTTCGATCGCGGCCGGAATCATCTAATGAAATCCTTTGTATTTATTCCAAACAAATGAAGAATTTTGGTGGTTTATTGACTATCGGTGCAATCCCACGATGAATCATACATCGAAGTCTTCATTATTTATTTTAAGCTTTTATTAAATATTGGCGATGCGTGCTGCAAAAGCGGTTTATTTTTGTAGGTTCCGTGGTGTAGTGGTTATCACAACTGCTTCACACGCAGAAGGCCGCAGGTTCGATCTCGGCCGGAATCATCTAATGTAATCCTCTATATTTATTCAGAACGAATAAAGGTTTTTGGTGGTTTATTGATTGTCGGTGCAATGCCATGATGAATCATAAATCATACAGAAGGCCGCTGGTTCGATCCCGGCCAGAATCATCTAATGAAATCCTATATATTTATTCAAAGCCAATGAAGGGTTTTGGTGGTTTATTGATTGTCGGTGCAATCCCATGATGTCAATCATACATCAATGTCCTCAATATTTATTCTAAGCTTTTATTAAATATTGGCGATGCGTGCTGCAAATGTGTTTAATTATGTAGGTTCCTTGGTGTAGTGGTTATCTCATCTGCTTAACACGCAGAACGCCGCCGGTTCGATCCCGGCCAGAATCATCTAATGAAATCCTATATATTCATTCAAAGCCAATAAAGGGTTTTGGTGGTTTATTAATTGTCGTTGCAATACCATGATAAATTATCTGCTTAACACGCAGAATGCCGCCGGTTCGATCCCGGTCGGAATCATGTAATGTAATACTCTTTATTTATTCAAAACCAATAAAGGCGTTTGGTGGTTTATTGACTGTCGGTGCAATACCACGATGAATCATATATCGAAATCACCAATATTTATTTTAAACTTTTATTAAATATTGGCGATGCGTGCTGCAAATGCGTTTTATTTTTGTAGGTTCTGTGGTGTAGTGGTTATCACATCTGCTTCACACGCAGAAGGCCGCAGGTTCGATCTCGGCCGAAATCATCTAATGTAATCCTCTATATTTATTCAAAACGAATAAAGGTTTTTGGTGGTTTATTGATTGTCGGTGCGAACCCATGATGAATCATAAATCATACAGAAGGCCGCCGGTTCAATTTCGGCCGGAATCATGTAATAAAATCCTCTATATTAATTCAAAACCAATGAAGATTTTTGGTGATATATTGATTATCGGTGCAATCCCATGATGTCAATCATACATCGATGTCCTCGATCCCGGCCAGAATCATCTAATGAAATCCTATATATTTATTCAAAGCCAATGAAGGGTTTTGGTGGTTTATTGATTGTCGGTGCAATCCCATGATAAATCATACATCAAAGTTCTCAATATTTATTCTAAGCTTTTATTAAATATTGGCGATGCGTGCTGCAAATGCGTTTAATTATGTAGGTTCCTTGGTGTAGTGGTTATCTCATCTGCTTAACACGCAGAACGCCGCCGGTTCGATCCCGACCAGAATCATCTAATGAAATCCTATATATTCATTCAAAGCCAATAAAGGGTTTTGGTGGTTTATTAATTGTCGTTGCAATACCATGATAAATTATACATCTGCTTAACACGCAGAATGCCGCCGGTTCGATCCCGGTCGGAATCATGTAATGTAATACTCTTTATTTATTCAAAACCAATAAAGGCGTTTGGTGGTTTATTGACTGTCGGTGCAATCCCACGATGAATCATATATCGAAATCACCAATATTTATTTTAAACTTTTATTAAATATTGGCGATGCGTGCTGCAAATGCGATTTATTTTTGTAGGTTCCGTGGTGTAGTGGTTATCACATCTGCTTCACACGCAGAAGGCCGCAGGTTCGATCTCGGCCGAAATCATCTAATGTAATCCTCTATATTTATTCAAAACGAATAAAGGTTTTTGGTGGTTTATTGATTGTCGATGCAATCCCATGATGAATCATAAATCATACAGAAGGCCGCCGGTTCGATCCCGGCCGGAATCATTTAATGAAATCTTCTATATTTATCAAAACACAAGATTGTCGGTGCATTATCATGATGAATTTTACATCGGTGACCTCAATATAGCTGCAAATGCGTTTTGTTTCTGTAGGTACCGTGGTGTAGTGGTTGTCACATCTGCTTAGCACGCAGAAGGCCGCCGGTTTGATCCCGGCCGGAATCATCTAATGAAATCTTCTATATTTATCAAAACACAAGATTGTCGGTGCATTATCATGATGAATTTTACATCGATGTTCTCAATATAGCTGCAAATGCGTTTTGTTTTTGTAGGTACCGTGGTGTAGTGGTTATCACATCTGCTTAACACACAGAAGGCCGCCGATTTGATCCCGGCCGGAATCATATAATAAAATCCTCTATATTTATTCAAATCCAATAAAGACTTTTGGTGGTTTATTGACTGTCGGTGCAATCTCACGATGAATCATACATCGAAGTCTTCAATATTTATTCTAAGCTTTTATTAAATATTGGCGATGCGTGCTGCAAATGCGTTTTATTTTTGTAGGTTCCGTGGTGTAGTGGTTATCACATCTGCTTAACACGCAGAAGGCGGCCGGTTCGATCCCGGCCGGAATCATCTAATGCAGTGGTTCCCAACCTGGGGGTAATTACCCCCGCAAGGGTAAAACGAAGATTCTAGAGGGGTAACAAAGGATGGCACGAAATAGTATTAAAATAGCAATAAACAAAATAATAGTACGGTAAACAAAATAAAATAAAGTCCTATGTTTGCGCTGCAAGTGGACACAATTATTGATGTTTTCACGATACTTTAAAGATGGCGATGTAAAGGAGAAATATTTGTTCTGCAAGTCTTTGCCCGCTACTACCCGCGGCGAAGAAGTATTTCAAACGCTAAAAGAGTTTATTGAGGAAAATGGCCTGATACACCATTTCGCTTTGGCTGTGGAAACGCTTCCACCCGATTTGCTAAACACGTTGTAAAAATTGTTAATCATATTCGAGGCAGCGCCACTAACTCAAAATTATTCAAAGTTTTATGCGATGTAGTTGGAGCTACATTTAATGCTCTTTTGTACCATACAGACATGGCCGGTCCTGGGGTCCATAGCGGCCACATGCCGAAGGAGAAGTTTATGTTTTCATAAAAAATCCGAATTGCTAATTTTATGTTTTCTCGACGTTTCAAGCCATTCTGAATCGAATGAGACCAATATTAGAAAAAGTATGTGTGTGTGTGCGTGTATGTGAACAAATTTTTTGCCGCAAATCGACGTTTTTTCTAAAACGGCTGGACCGATTTCAAAAATTTAAAAGCCACTCGATGTATCTCGATGAGGACTATTGTCGATGTATCTCGACGATCAGCCAAGCCGTTTCTTTATAAATCGCAGAAAAGTAAAAAATTTTTCGTCTACGTTTTAAATTCTGAATCGATTTTGAAAATTCAAAAACCGTTCGAAAGATATTGATTGGAAATCGTGCTGATTAGTTTTTGGTAGAGATCGGCCGGGCCGTTTTCTTGTAATAAAGTTTGAAAAAAAATTTTTTGACGATTTTTATGATTATTTTTTTGACGGTAGATACCATAGTCTTCTAGATCATACTAAAATATTACGGCCGTACGACAACTGGTTCAGCTTTAAAAATTCATCAAAGTTTGCAAAAATTAGTATGGTCTTTTTGGCATTTGTCAAAATTAGAACTTTTATCGACGTTCGCTCAAAAACCCTTAACCGATTTCAGATATTTAAAAAGCATTTGATGTATCTCGATGAGGATTATCGTTTCTCAGTTTTGTGCGACGATCGGCCGAGCCGTTTCCCTGTAATTTGGAAAGAAGTGTTAAACCTTTCGTCCATATTTAAGCTCATACTACCGAACCGATTTTAAAAAATCAAAAACTGGTCGAAAGATATTAGTTGGGAATGATACTGATTAGTTTTAGGTAAAAATCTACCGAGCCGTTTTCTTGTAATTAAATGTTGAAAAAAAAATTTAAGCCGATTTTTATGAAACTTTTTTTGGCGATATATATCATGGTCTTATAGAACATACTGAAATATTACGGCCTTACGACAAGTAGTTTAATTTTAAAAATTTATCAAAGTTTGAGAAAATGAGTAGTTTTTTTGACGTTTGTTAAAAATAAAATTAGACGATTTAGTTGGTATAACAAGTGTACTTGGTGTTGAACATAGTAAACAATCAAAGTCCTACGGAAACTGGTTCAATTATAATTATTGATTAATTAATATTAATGATTTTTGAAAATTTGCTTTTAGAAAATACTCCGAGTTAACGTGTTCGTTTGTTCGTTTGCAATGATGTGTAATAAATCCACTCGGAATACTTTTAATCACTCATAAATTAATTTATTTATTATTGATTAAGTCGATTATTTATACATATCGGGAAGTTTATGTAACTTGCCTCAAGGCTAAATACCAAACCAACTAGTTTTTTCTTATAATCAATAGTTATGTTTGCATGTATATTTTTTATAATATTTGTATTATTTGACACAATTATTACAAAATATTTATTTTAACGAAACAATAAAACACAAAAACAAAACTGTATCAAAATCCTAAGTTAAGGGGATAAACCAGTGGTTTCCATCCTTTTCCTCCTTGCGCCCCCCTTTCGAAAGAAAAAAATATTGCGCCCCTCCCCCCTAATTGTTCTAATAATTTAATTTAAATATACTTAACTAAAATTATGCCAAATAATACACAATATTTAAAAAAATACATACAAACATAACTATCGATTATAAGACAAAATAATTTTAATGAAAACAAATCATAGAAAAATAATAATCACACCATTAGAAAAAGTAATGCGACGGTTGAGCTTGTTTTTCAGCATATAATCATATTTCACAATGACAAATAGATTTCTGTTCCATTCGTATTTGAACATATCTAGATTTTTTTAGATGGCAGTCTCTCAGCATTTAAAATTAATATTTCAATTACTCAACATTTAAAATTAATATTTTTAAAACAGCGTCGCGCCCTCCTTGGAACGGTATGAGGCCCCCTTAGGGTTGGTGCGCCCCACAGGTTGGAAATCGCTGGGTTAAACACTCACAACTGACGATAATACAAATATGTGTATGATAAAAAAGTTTAATAGTTTTATAGCCTGCAATATTTGTGGTATGAAAAATGTTATATTTTATTCAATGTTTATGAAATTTTGAAATTCACATTTAATACGCCTGTAGGCATTATAATAATAGATGCTTGGCATGCTCCTATTTCTATTTGGGATATAGAAAATGTT